AACAGTCACAGTCTGAGCTGCTCGACTCTCAGACAAAGAGGAGAGACTTCAAAAGAAAATATTTATGAGTCTCAAAGGGTTAAAAGTCTGGCTGTGCAGGAAAAATACAACTGGCATACCAAACCAATGAGACGGAGCCCCACAGTGAGTTCTGTAATCCAGAAACCAGAACCGGACCCCAGACCGTGAGGCTGAATGACACGAAATACTGAAGCCAACGAAAACAAACAAGATTAAAACTCTGCAGCTGAATCAGAGTCTCAGTGAGACTTAGCATGCTAATGCTTAGCACATAACATTGTATCAGAAACACACAGCACTATATAATCATATATGGTCATGTCACAGAGACCAGGATGAGGCCTCAGCTGTTCTAGATCCAGGTCCACATGAAGCCGGCTTCTTCAGTAAACACATTTTTCTGTGTCAAGACTGAAACTTTTTTTTTTCCTCCCAAAATTGAGCTTTTTTCCAAAATGGCCTCCACAGACACACACACACACACACACACACACCATTTTAAAATCGTAGTCATCAGGGGTCAAACCTGCAGTTCTTCAGTTACAGAAAACTGTGTTACCACAACACAACCCACATCTCTCCTGCTGATTTGTCTCTCTCACACACACACACACACTCTCACACACACACACACACACACACACACTGTAGGTAACAATGTTCCTGCAGCAGACTGAGGAATGTGTTCATTTCCTCTTTGGTGTGAATGTTTACACTCTGCATGTTTCTGAAACAAGCTGAGAATAAAAGCCCTGGAGGAGGAGGGGGTGTGGGGGGGTGGATGGGGGGAGGGTAACCATTTTTATATTTATGTTTTAACATTTTATTTTATCACTCTATACAATATAAAAACAAAGAAAAAGATGAAAAAACGAGGTTGTTAGTGTCAGAAATCTCCAAAATAAAAGCTCAAATCAGAAATCTCCTCTGTGCAGTCTCATCAGATTTAACCAGACTCCTGCCTCCCTCTAGTGGTCAGTTCGAGGAATCACCGGAAATTCAGTAAACCTGTAAAATATCTTAATTTTTACAGTATTCTGTTTAATTAATATGCAAGGATCTCATCTAGGTGATATCAGCGGTCAATCAAAAATAAAACTCAAATACTGATTTCTTCTCTGGGAGGGAAAAATAAAATCTCTTTGTGTTGTGATTAAATTCATTAATCGTCTTTTACAAAGTTCAAATATGGCTGGATTTCAAGAATTAAGTTTATATTTTGAGATTTCTAGAAAAAAAAAAAATCATGGATGAACTGATTTGATTTTTGTGGTTAAAAGGTCAAAGGTCAGGGTCACTGTGACCTCACAAAACATGTTTTTGGCCATAATTCAATCATTCACTCAAAAAAAAAAACCAGATTTAAACACACAAACAGCAGTGGTGTATTATTAACAGATTACTTTTATTATAAATATACAGTGTTAAAATGGAATGGTACCTGACACTGCCAGCCGTTTACCGCTTATAGAAACAAAAACAACAAAAAAAAAAAAATGGAACTTGAGTTTGTGCTGCAGATCTGCAATCATCAAATCACACATACGCAAGAACACAGAGCGTCAATCAACAGGAATTAAAAACATTCCCCCCAATCACGTCAGACGCCTCGGGGGCCGTCTTGACTGCGATTAAACCGGGAAGAGTCCGTTCTTCTTCAGTCCGACTCTGTGTCCAAAAAGTTCAGCACAGTTTGCAAAGAGAAGAACGTGAGACTGACGCTGCTGTGTCGACGTTGATCTGGAGTTTGTTTCCTGGAGCAAATGATGACAGATGGTGCCAAGTGATAGAAATGAGATCACAGGAAGATGTGACAGAGACATTCATCGGTACGTAACATCCAACGGTTCATAAAGGTGCCACATGCAGCATTTTTAACATCAGTACGGCTCTTTCAGGATGGTGTTTCTCCAAACTCAAGACTACATTTCCCATAAACCCCTCTGCTGCCTCAATCCTCTTTTTCATCACCTCAAAGTCACACAGGAACTTTGAGACGTCGATCTCAACCGGCCAACAGAGGGGTAAAACACCAGAAACAACCTTCTTCTGGAGCTGAATTGATTAGTTCGTTAACTGATTGGTGGAATGAAAATGACTCGTTCCAGCTTCTGAACTGTGGCGATCAAGATATCTGAAAATACCATCTTGGATTCTGTGAATTTTTCTGTTTAATGAAATTTCAAAGAGACAATCTTCGGCTCTGAGACCAGTCGATTCATCAACAATAATTTAAGTTTTTTTTAAATTAAAGTTAAAAAAAATGTACTGGTTCCAGCTGAGTCATATTTTTAAAGTCAAATGTGGAAATTAACTAAATATTTTAAACTGAATATCTTTGGATTTAAAGACATGATTTGAATTTTTTCAAAATTATTATTTTTGTACATTTTAAATGATTTAATCTGCTGATTATTTTCTTGATTAATCAATAATGAAAATAATCATTTCATGGCCAACTAATTTGCAAATACCAGAAATATTTGCTATATTTGTACAACTGAAATTAACTGGAAAAAAATAAAATAAATAAAAATATAAAATCATAATCTGTAGGATTTCTTAGTTTTATTATTCTAGACTGAATCTTTGGAGTGTTAATCTGAAGAACAGCTTGGACAGTTTTTACAATTTTACTCAGGTTTGACATTTTATAGACAAAATGATTAATTGATGAATCAAAAAAATAATTTGCAAATTAATCGATAATTAAAATACGAGTCTGTTGCAGCAGTTTTCTGACAAACTGAAGCCGTCAATCTGTTTTTACCGTTTGGTTGCTGCAGAAAAAAAAACAAAAAAAAAAACAGCAACAACTTTTGTTAAATCCAGATTTCCCTGTAAAAGCTCAAAATAAAATAAAATAAAATACAGTTGATGTGATAACAGTTCACAGCTGTTAAAATGTCACATGCAGCACCTTTAATTTGATCATTTATCTTCATGAATGTTGCTCACTGGATGAATCACATCACTGAGCGCCGGCACAGACGGCCACTAGGTGTCCCTGCTGTCGAGTCCTTTAGGTCCAGTTTGCTCCGACGGACGCCGCGGAGCTGAGCGAGCTTCCTGCCGTGGCGAGAAAATCTCCGCTCGTACATACAATGAAACGTCACAACAGGAGCCGCTGCTGTTGTTGTTCTTCAAGTCAATGGCATGAAGGCGAATGAGCAAATCTAACTTTCATTTGCTGACTCCAATTTTCACTTTTAAGTATCAGGCACTTAATTTTAAGTCCTTTTACATGAATGAGCTGTGCCGTTCAAGACTGATGCTGAAGTAGTGTGCAAAACACTGGATATAACAAATCTGTTTGAACATGCATAACAAAATGTAAACATTTAAATCTTTATCAAAGGGAAAAAAAATGAAATTAAACCTAAAGAAACCTTTACAAACTAAAGCTTAAATAACCAAAAGAAGAAAAAGAAACTATCATCTCTCATACTGGTTTAACATGCTGCTCGTCTCTAAACTAGATCACCTCCCCCCTTTAAAAATGACACACCCGGCGTTCAGCCGTCAGTGGCACCAAGTCATTAACATAAAAGACATGCAGGAAAAAAAAATTAACAAACTAACTAAGGCAAATGTTCAGGAGATTCAGACTGAGACACTCTGAGATAAAACTGGTCCAGTGGAGCTGTGGTTTGACTGGGAAGCTGCTGAACTGGTTCGTACGAAGTGTGACGGCAGAAGTGTTTATAACTGTTCGAAAAGGTGGAGATAAAAGCTCAGACTCTCCTCAGAGACATTCATGGTGCTGCATTCACTTGTACAGATGGAAAAGTGGAAGAATAAACTCATACAATCTCATATCGCTGTTCATTCACTTTTTCTGTTTTTAGCAGCTTTTACCAAACACCATCCACACCCTCGGGGGCTAATGCTAATGCTAAGGGAAATTCTGACCTGACAAACTGGTGACATGATGGCTGCAAACGCACCGCCAAAATAAAATCCAACACTAGCACTAATACAATCGATTTCAGCTCACATTACTGATCTGCTGTCATTTGATCACCTGAAGCAACTTCAGGTCGTTTATCTGCTGCTGCGACAACGATGACGTCGTCAGCACAGGTGCACTTCCTGTTCTTGAGGAAGTGATGAGCGTCGCGCTTTAAGAAGAGCGATACTTGATTTTTTAAAGACTAAAAAAAAATACAAATAAAAAGAGCGTTTGTTTATCTGCTCCAACGTAACCTACTGGCTCAGTGAAAGACTCACAACAAACAGACTTAAACACTCGCTAGCCTAGCGACGTTAAAGCTACAAACAACCCATAATGCAACACTCCCTGCAGAAGTCAAGTGTTCAATTAGACCTTGAATAGTTCCTTGAATATAAGACCACCTGCACTTTTCAAGCTTAATTTCCAGATAGAATATAATCTTATACTCCAGCGTGTGCTGCTGCCTTCCTAGCCAACACTTCTCCACTCCCCACCCTCCAGAACAGCTGTAAACACTTGAGCTTTAGCCGAGGTTGTACGAAATGATTTCCCTTGAAGCGGACTGAAGCACATCCAGAAACACCTCACCTGGATAAATGTTTAAAGATTTACGAAGCAGAGCGAGACACAAAATATATATTCACCCTGATGTAAGATGATCAGACGTGTTGTGAGATATATTAAAATCTTACTGCATTGATTTAAATAGGAAACAATAAAGTGAACAGACGTTACCGTGGTAACAGGATCAGTAAGTTAAGGAGTCACCAACATCCTGAAACACTGACGGTTAAACTGGTTCTAGCAGAGGTTACGGAGGAGGTCTGAGTGCGGTGGTTTCTGGTGGTTTTCCATGTGCTTTGGTGCGAATGATCTACTGAACGATTCACCTCTGCCTCACGTGAAGCCAACAGTCAAATACCATCAGGAAAAAACTACCAAATGTTTTCATAACAAGTCGTGGTTCATCTTCTTTTTTTTTTTTTTTCTTTTCTTTTTTTAAATTAAACTCTTTTTCTTAAAAATAATTTCTTTAAACTCTCTGGACAAATAATAAATCTGCTGTGAGGATTTTTTTTTCCCGAGATGAGATTTTGATGACTTGCTGAGATGAAAAGATTTTGCAGCTTTATCGACAAAAAAACAAAAAAACAAAACAAAACAAAAAACAAAACCCAGAAAAACAACAACATCAACAACAACAATATGGCAACAGCTACACGATTTAGAATAAACAGCACCAGTTCATTTCGGTGTCGTGGTTGACTCCACTATTCTGGTAAAAAATAAAACATTGGCAAGAAGAAAAAAACAAAAAAACAAACAGAAAAACAAAAACAAACATGGCAGATATAAATATGCAAAATCCAAATGAAGCAAACGGGTACAGTAGGTGTGCAAATCTGTGGCAGAGAAACGAGGGAAAAGGCTGAGTGAAGAGATACCTTGACGTTTGAGTTCTTTCAGCTACAAGAGGTTTTTTCTTTTTCGACACAACGAGGGGAGGAGGAAGAAGAAGAGGAGGAAGAGGAGGAGGAGGATCAGTGAGCTGGTTTATGTGGAGGGGAATGCTGCGGGTTTGATTCCCTCATTTCCACCTAGCGTTAACACACGAGCTGGATCTGGATCTGGATCTGGATCAGCAGCAGAACAGTCACAACATCGTCACATCTCAGTTTTGGTCACGGTCTTAAAAGGAGCAGTATACATTTTAGGGGGGGGGGGGGTTGATTCGTCTCTTTATGTCTCTAACCTGAATATGAAGCTAAGGCCGGGGGGGGGCCCGACATATCCCAACATTCATTGCGCACCAGTGATGATTCACTTCTCAGAAAGAGAGCGACCGAGGATGGGACTGAGCTGAGGACCAGAAACAGGGAGAAACAGATAAACTGGTTCTGTCCAAAAGCAACAAAATCCACCTACAAGAGACTCTAAAGCTCTAAAGTTTATTCCCCCAAAAATGTCAAACTACTCAAAAATAAAATTCCCCTGAACAAGAGTCCACACGTAGCATAGCAGCATTGCTTCCCTTCACCTGAGATGAACCATGTTTTATTGACATGTCTGCCAGCTGATCTCCTGTTTGTTTGTTAAAAACCACAGTGATCAGCTGTTTTAGGAAAATTACTGATCCTCTTTTAAAAAGTTAAACTATACATTTGAGTTTCTTCCGTCCGAGCGGGGAAGTCAAAGTGCTGACGATAAGAAAAATCCAGAATAACCTTCAACACCAGGTGGAAATGAGATCTGAGTGCGCCTGTGTGTGTGTGTGTTAAGGATAAGCTCCGCCCCCTTGCAAGAGATAACGCAGGTGGAAAATGTTTGTTTTTTTTTAAAGAAAAAAAGAACCTGAGGTAGTCTGAATGTCTGGGCTACATGTTCATGTATGATCCTCCTCCCGCGCTGATGTCATTTCTTATTGGCTGATCAGTGGTAGTGATAAAAGACGAGACGACGGCGCCAACGTGTGGCCGCAGTTTGGACTTTACGGTGCAAAGAGCAAAGCTGGGAATCGAACCTCAACACAGAGGATTAAAAACTCAAAGACAGAGAGCAGGTTTGTCCTGATCAGAACTCTTGATTTATTCAGACGAGCTTTTGTTCAGCTGCTAAAATAATTATTTAAATTTTGAAAACTTTGGCTTCTTTTAAAAGTTTCGTAGTTTATCGATCATCAGCATCAGGATGATTGTGACGCTGAATGAGAGCAGAGTGCGGGACATTCTTCTTGCATTACATTGGTATGTGCAAATAATCAAATGGAAAGTTTCGTTTTCGTTTCTCAAAGAAACAGAAACTCGAGGATCCACGGGGACGTGCTGAGGAGTGACAGGAAGCTGAGCAGGTCCAACATCAAGGTATCTCTCTGAGTGAATGTGTTTGAAGCCGGCGATGAAACTGATCGCAGGCCGTTTTAAGGCACATACGTGTAAGAAAGGTTTATATAATTTCAGCTAATGAGCAGGACTATAGAAAGGCTTCACTTAACGAGCTATAACGTGAAGACCGAGGAGCTCCTCGCCCGGAGCTCCACATAACATCTAAACACTTTATCAGAAAATAACTATCTCTCTACAGAAGTAGAGTACAATTTAAAAAATGAAACTACCGAGCTACAGTACACTCTAGATGCTAATAATGACGTCTTGATGCATAGCATCACCCATATATGTAATATTGATTTTTTATTTTAAGTATCATGGATCTTATTCAATATTTCACCCTAACATTGAATAGTGGAGTTAATAGTGTCATGGAGGGTTATGGCAGTGTTTGTTAAAGAGTCAGTCTCGCTCCTCCGTTTCTTTTTTTTTTTTAACCTTAAAGAGAAACGAACAGAGGAAGGAAGAGAAACTGATGTGTGATTGTCATGAGTCTGTGTCGAGTTCAATCAACGACCTGATTGAAAACCACAGAGGAAAACAGGAAATAACAGGAGACAAAAAAAAAACAAAAAAAAGGGGAAAGGAAGAGACGTTGTGAGTTCATATGTTCTCAAAGATGAGGAAAACGAACGTCCCTGCTTCGTGGGTTCAGGATTTCACCTGAGCCCACATCCAAAACCGACACCGCGCCCCACGGTGAAAACAACTTCCCGGATTCCAACAACCGACTAATCTCCGACCGATCGACAGTTTTCTGATCACAACAGGGACAAACGCTAAAAACAGTGTGTGTCAGTGTTTGAGGAGCCGGCGCTCTTCAGCTCCGCAGGTCCAGGACCGGAGCAGAGGGCGGGACCTTTCTCCTCCTGCTCCGACTTCTGCACTTTGTTGCTTATCTCAGTTTCACGGCGCTCGAGGTCGACCACCTCCTCCTGCTCCTGCTTCACTTCCTTCTTTACGACCACGCCCCCCTCCCCTCTCTCTGTGTCAGTCCTCTGGGATTCGGCCTCAGATCCCGGAGGAAGAAACTTCCCAAACCTGGTCCCGTTCAGATCCTCCTCCAGTTTCACCTGGAAGGGCGGCAGCCCGAGCAGGAAGGCCCTGATCCTGCTCGGGGAGCTCAGGTCTGCGGGTTCCTCCTGGTTCTTCATCTCTACATCCTGCCCTCCTCCACTCCCCCCGGAGCTGGACCGGCACCCCGGGGCGAAGTCCTCGGCCTGGTCCGTGCACCCGGATCTGGGTCTCTTGGACGATGGTTGATCTGTGTTTCCGTTGATCGCGGCCCGGCTGGGCTCCGGCCCCTCCGTGCTGGGTCTCTTCACCGTGAAGCGTTTGCTGAGGTTGAGAGGCAGCGCCTGCTCGGGGGGAGGGGTGATGGGGGAGCAGGGGGGCTTGGTGCTCAGGTCCTGGGACAGAGCCTCAGACAGTCGGCGGGTGAAGGTCTGCAACTGAGACGAGTCCAGACAACGAGTTCTCATCAGCTGGCACACCTGAACGCTGCAGTCCAGGTTCAGAGGCAGGACCCGGAGAGGGGGCAGCGGGGGCCGGCTCCTGGCGTCCCGGCTGCCCCCCCTCTGGGTTCCCTCGTCTCCGTTACACCCTGAGCAGCGGTTGTGGTGCTGGTGGGGCTGAGGCTGAGGCTGGTCCCCGCTGGGATGAGGGGTGTCCGGGCTTCCGCTCTTGGGCTGGAGGGGGTAGACGGTCGGATGGTGCTGGGTGGGGTCTTGAGGCGTCAGCGCCGGGCTCTCCGGGGCTCTCTGGAGGCTGATGCGGCTCCTGAAGACGTCCAGCGGACACACGCCTTTGATGGGGCTGAAGCCGCCCAGGGATCCTCCGACGAAGTGGCGAGGCAGAGTGGAGAGGAGCACACCCGGAGCGGCGGGGGCCGCGGACTCCCCCCTGTCCGGCTTCAGCTCCTTCGGTTTGGGCTGGAAGGGGAGGAAGGGAGCCGACATGGGGGAGAGGTCGGGGGTGAGAGGCATGTTGACGGGGAGGATGGCCGGCTGGACGGGCTGCAGGAAGACAGGAAACAGGAAGTCAGAGAGAGAATGTCCTTTAAATCTATTGTCGATAGTTTTTTTTTTTTAATCATGCAGCTGGCTGAGGGGGCGTGTCTGTCTGTGTTTGATTGACAGCAGATTATCTAACCAGGTGACACCTGCAGGTACAAATCTCCTGTGATCGTCTCCGATGCTTGTTTTTTATGTGTGTGTTTGTTTTCTTCACCTCTGCTGCTTACATGATTAAATAAAGATAAAAACTCAGTTATTTTCATAATATAATAATATTGTGATTATTTCAGAACGACATGAGGCCTTCAGGTTACAGCAAAAACCTCGTGTAGATGAGATTTTCCTGCTGCACTGTGGAGTTTGAGGTGTTACCCTGTGTGTGCTGCTGGGCATCGGTCCTCCTCTGCCTTTGGCTGGAAGCAGAGCTCTCTGCTGCTGAGTCTGCGCTGCAGTCGCTGCCACTGCCGCCGCCGCCGCCGCCGCCGCCGCCGCCGCCGCTTTGGCTTTGGCCTGCTGCTGAGCCAGCAGCTTGGCCTGAGCGATCAGCGTGGCCTTGTTGCGTGTCCCCGGCGGCCGGCCTCTGCCCCTCTTCACCACCACGGAGCCGTTCGGGTTCACGATCTGCTCAGAGAGGAGGGAGACGAACGGTCAGATCTGGTATCTTGAAGTATTTCATGTGTTTAACAGTGAACAAAACTTCCCGTGAACAGCTGATATAAGCGGTCAGGCGCTGGTCGGTCGCAGCAACAACTAAAGGGGAAAATCAAACTGAACCACCGCACACCGAGATGACTTCACTGTCACTTTTAAAGAGGGAAAAACGCGTTTCACCTGTGGCTTCTTCAGGTTCACTCAGTCATATTACAACAGAGTTCACAGGGGCGATAAACTCACCCACATTTTTGCGGTATTTTAACATTTTCCAAAAAACATGACAATATTACACATTATCAAAAACCACAGCATTATTAATATTACTAGAGTTACAGAGATAAAAGAACTAATTTCTATATACACAGCTCAGTCCTACATAGCACCACATTCTACATTCACCCTCCTCTCCTTGGATTAATGGGATCTCAGGGAAACGTCCTCAACAGGACGGATGTAAAAGTGTCTCCCAAGTCTTTTCTTTTCTCAAAAGCAGATGTTGGAAAATAGGGTTTGTGTTTTATTCGGGTCAGTGCAGTGATTCTGACATGACGGCTGAGATACACACTGAGGGGGAAACCGGCATCTCAGATGATGAGACGGCGGTTTGTTTGGATCTTTATTAATTCATCACCATCGAAAATCTGCTTTTAAAAAAGTTATCGTTTTATTATTCCAATAAAATACATAAAAAACTGCTCTTCAGCCCTGAGATCTTTTGTGACTTTGACCCTGGAGCAGTTTTATGAAGGTAAATTTATGTTCACTGACACATGGATGTATTTTTAATGGCACGTGCTGCTACAGATGATTGTTTCCAAACTTATCCAGAGAAACGAGCAGATGATTTCTGAATGAAATAAAGGAATGAGGTAAATTACTGTGAGTGTGACTGAGCAGCGAGGGGTCACTGCATAAAAGAAAAAATCTAATAAATTGAAGTATTTGATCCTTTTTACAACCTTCAGATCATTTATTTCAAGACATCCTGCAGCTGGTCTGTCACTTACAGTCCGAGGAGGAGGAGGAGGAGGGGGAGGAGGAGGAGGAGGGGAAGGAGGAGGAGGAAGAGCGGGGGTTGTGATCTTCTTCTCCTTGGCTTTGGGTCCTGGTTTTCTGCCTCGAGGAAGTGGTTTCCTTCCTCTGATCCCTCTGGGTTTCGGAGGAGTGGGGGATTCTGGGATTTTGAACTCCGCTCCTCCGGCTCTGAGGTGTTCCTCGTAAGGAAGCATCAGCCTGCGACGCAACATCACAAGGATTAGTGCGTAAAACTTTTAACAGTAGCACATCTTCTGTGTAGGATTTCAGTGGTGGAGGGTGTCAGCGCGTCTTGTCTGACCTCTCGTAGTGTCTCCTGGTGCAGGTAGCAGCGCTGGTGCTGCCGGGGCATCCTCCCAGCTCGTTATAAACCACTTTCCAGAGTCGGTCTCCTGTCACCTGCCACACAAACACACAAAGGTGAAGGTGATCAGATCTGAACTCACGACATCCTGCAGAAAAGACTCGATCAAACATGAGGATAAATATGAAATACTGAATCTGTGAATCTTTGTAACTCTGTTGAGAAACGTACTTTATCAATAAAGTTTATTATTATAATCATGTAAAGAGTCTAAAGCTCCTTAGAAAAGAATGAAGTGAAATCAAGTATTTGAAGATCAGGCTTCAAGTTCAATGTAATGGATTACGGCGCTGGTGCTGCTGGTGGAGTGGTAACACAGTGTGTGTGTGTGTGTGTGTGTGTGTGTGTGTGTGTGTGTGTGTGTGTGTGGTTTCAAAACAATTACATACATTATACAGTGTTAGTGGTGTACCACCATGCTGTATAATACAGTATTGTTCAGTACAAGGCTCATTTCAGTGCAGTGGGTGGAGTGAAGGACTGAGCCTTTTGTTGTGAACAGAGCAGCACTGAGCTGAAGCTGCACTGACTGTTTCTGTCCCGACTGACTGTTTCTGTCCCGTCTGACTGTTTCTGTCCCGACTCCTTGTTTCTGTCCCGACTCCTTGTTTCTGTCCCGTCTGACTGTTTCTGTCCCGTCTGACTGTTTCTGTCCCGTCGGCAGGCTAGCCCTTTATGCTAAGCTAAGTTATCCAGTCGGTAGTTTAATATTTAACTTACAGACCAAAAAGTTATTTCAACCTTCTCGCGTTTTTCTCTGCTGGAAAACAAATGCCAGACTATTCCTTTAAATAAAGGTTATTCCATCTAAGTCGAAGCGACTCACCTTCTTGTAGCCTCCGAGCCGCTTGACCACCGAGTACATGAGGAAGAGGTCGACTGAGGAGACAGAGGACGGACATGTTTGAATCCAGGCAGCAACAGGAAGAGGAAACAGAGCAGAGATGCAAATATGATACACAGGAAATAAAAGTCAAACCAGACTGTAATTCTGAGATAAAACTCTCAGTTTGACTAAACAAATGTGTCTGATAAAACCCAAGTTCTTCAAATGTGCCTCACTCTGTTGTTTAAACACTTCCCATCCCAGGTGATGGAGCCTGAGAGGATCTGCCTGGAAGACTGCGAGCTGTAACTGCTGCTAAAGATGCTTCGACTAAGTCCTGAACTAAGAGTCTGAAGACTTCTGTAAATGAGAGATTTCAATGTTTGATTTGTTTTTTATTTGATGATGGGAGGAAATGGCAATTTTATCCATTTAAAACATATATATAGTAACATAATAAAGTGAAGAGGTGTGAAAACTTTCTGAAGCTGCTGTGGAAAAAGAAACATGTCCGCCCCAAAAAAAACCACCCCATCTACACACCACATCCTCTGAAACATGGGAGGGAGGAAGGAAGGAAGAAAACAATTAAGAAAGAAAGAGAGAAAGAAAGAAAACAAGGAAGCAAAGAAAGAAAACAAGAAAGAAAAGAACGGAAACAAGAAAGAAAAGAAGAAAGAAAGAAAGAAAGAAAACAAGAAAGAAAGAGAAAAAAGAAAGAAAAGAACGGAAACAAGAAAGAAAGAAAGAAAATAAGAAAGAAAGAAAGGAAACAAAAAAGAAAGAGAGAGTCAGACTCACTCTTCTTGAAGCCGAGGTTGGGGACTTTGTGGATGGGCGAGCCGTGACGCTCCATGAAGATGTAGAGCTGATCCAGGAACAGCTGCTCTTCAGGGTGAGGGAGCCAGCTGCCCTCACAGCCGACCTCCACGCTGCCCATCACGTTCTCCTGAGAGACACACACACACACACACACACACACACACACACACACACACACACACACACACACACACACCTTTAGCTGATTTTATTTTCCACCTCATTCTGTGTAACGGCGCATGTGAACCGTCACCAACACGATTCAAGGACCAGTTTTAGTTTTTTGTCTGGTCGTCCTGAGGATCAGTCAGCTGTTGATCCGGAGCAGACTGGGGGGTCCGGAGCCTCCAGGAAGAGGATTTTATGCTCCACTTTCAACAGAGGATTTTTTTTTTTATTATTTTTTAAATCGAATGTAAAAGTGAGTGTGATCAGAAAACCTCACCACTGTGATAAACGGCGAACAACAAACCTTCATCCTCTCGATCCAGGACTCTGATTGGCTGGAGTTCGGGGAGTCTTTGCCGTCGCGGCCTCTCCTCTTGCGAGGTCGTCCTCGAAGACTGAGAGAAGGACATCCTGCAGAAAAAACAAAACAAAAACACAAACATGAATAAAAAAAAAAAAGAAGGAAGAAGAAGAATTCAGTCGAACATTCATTCATAATTTTTACTGTGTGACTTTAAAGCTGAAGCAGGAGCTGGACTCTACCCATGATCCTCTTCTTCTCATGGTCCCTTTTAGAAATCTATGACCTCATCTGCACATCAAACGATCCAATAAAAAGGTCTCAACTCCAAGGTTTTAAAATCTCTGAACCGACACATTAGAAAACTTTAAAAAGGGACATAAATCAAACACGCCTCAGCAGACAACAAACCGAAATACACAGAGCCACAACAACAGCGGTAACACCTCATGACAAATTAACATGTTTTCCAACAGGCCATGAGTGAAGTTCAGGAGCTCATGTAGCCACTGAATCAACAGTTCATAAATACCAAGCTGATCTGAAAACAGCATCAATAACACAGGAAATAAATATGTAAATGAAGCCATAACAATTACATACAAATGTCAGAAAACAAGGGACTGTCGCATGTTTCACAGCTGTGTGAACAGAACCGGTCTGAGATGTTCTCCAACCGGTTTATTCTAATTGTTAGAGCGGCTCTGTGCGCCTGATGAACTGAAAGATAAACAGCCCATTTAATCACATTATCTGCCTCCCAGTGAGAGTTAAAGTTTTAATTTAGGCACAAACATAAAAAATCATTTACTCAGTGACGTTTCTTTTATTTCTGACGTACGATTATAACGCAGCTACTGAGCGAACTCTTCCCGTCTTAAAACAATCGCTCCCAATCATCCTCGTCATCATCGCCCCTCGTGATGTTTCGCTGACGTCACGAGCCAATTCAGTAGACGTCTTCCCACCCAGGTCACTCAGCACACGTTGGACTACTAAAACAATAAACTGGGCGTCTGGTTTCACATTTACATAACCAGCCTTTTTTTAAAAAATAAAAACAAAAAAAGACTTGTTATTCCTGTTCCTGTCATTAGCGCTCATGCTGTTAATGTGCCTCCACACAACACTGTAAAACAAAGACTATAAAGCATCACATCGATACGAACGCCCAGATATTTGTAAGATGAAGCTACTTCATGGTGTCTTCTAATTTCCATAAAGGTCAATAACTTACTCCTTAATCTTAGTGTGGTGGATGTGAAGTCTGTGGGAAACTTCCTACATCAATGAAAAGAGCTGAGGGAGTGTCGGGAGCGACCAGCAGGTGGCAGCGTTACACAGAAACACAGGGAGCTTTTCAGGGAGGGGCGGTGATGCTGTCAGATGTAAATCTGAGAAGGCTCATAATCAGATGGAGATTTTATTTGAACCACACACACACACACACACACACACACCTCATACCGTCTGTGCTTTTATTTTGTAGGTTTTAACAAATGAGACCCTGCGCCACAGTGAGCCTGTTCGCCCCCTGGTGGCTGTTAGGAGTTGATGTTTGTGTCTTTGTGGAAGATTTTCCTACATTTAATTGAAAAAATTTTTTTTTTTTAAAAAAGGTGAACAAAGAGACTTTTACTTTGAAAGAGCCTGTGAAGACGTCACATGATCCCTACTGAAACTGAGAGGTTTCTGAGACACTCACTGAACTGCCAGGAGAAGCCGGCGCTGTTCTCCAGCGTCGGGTGGTTGAACGTGTCCCTGCAGTACATCACCCGGGTGTTGGGCAGCGCCCTGACGCCCCCCAGGGCCAGCAGGTGGGGGTCCTGCAGCCCCAGCCCCCTCGCTCCATCCTGGATGCGTCTCTGCAGGGAGCGGAAGCGGCAGTACTGCGGGTAGCTGAGCACTTTGACGCCCTGACGCTCCAGCGGGCCGTCTGAGAGGAAGACAAACGAGACACACGAGAACCGAACGTCAGTCTGGGATCAATAACGTCCACAGCTCCGTTACTTGAGTCACAGTCAGATCCTCTGGTCAAATATTCCTCCAATACAAGTTAAAGTTGTTCAGTTAAAGTTAAAGTACTGCAGTACTTGATTTTAAGAATACTCAAGTATTCAAAAGTACATTTTTTTTTATGTCAAATCATTGTTGTTTTGTTCCACATTTACCGAACCGACTGACTGACTGACTGACTGACTGACTGACTGACTGACTGACTGACTGACTGAAGAACCTGTAGAATAAAAAGACCATGCATCTGTGAAGAACTGGTCAAGTCCAGTTTTTTTCTTTCTTATTTAGTCTTTTTCTTTTGTTTAAATTGTAACCTGATCCAAACTCCTGTAAAACCCAAAACCCAGGATTTCCAGCCTTTTCTTTACAGGCTGAACAGTCTTAACTTATACCTTCACTCACCAACAATTAAACTATAAAATCAGATGCAGTCTCATCCGACAGCTCAGACATAAAGTTCACAAAGATAATAATGTGACCCTGTCAGAGGTGTTCATTTCACTATGTGCTCTTTATCTTCTGGGAGGCTTTTATTGTGAAACACCTGCACAATGTACTGAGTTTCATTGATGGAAGCCGAGCATCGAACAAATTAAATTATAAATTATTGATGAAGAACAGGATTTCTGTATTTCATTCCCTGACTGCTCAAAGGGTTATTGACGAACTGGTGCCGCACAAATTTATAGTAGAATAAATATGTTTAGGTTTAGTGTGTGTGTCTGTGTTTCTTACTCTCGGTTTTGTCTCTGAGCGGCTCGCTGCTCTTGTCCGCTGTGTTGTTGTTGTTGTTGTCGTTACCGTCGCTGCTCTGCGGAGGTTTGTGGAGGCCGTTGGTCCCGCAGGGTGGTGGCGGCGCCAGCTTCGAACAGCTACTCCAACCTGCCGGCCGCGCACACGACCATCTCACCAGGTCCTCCACCCGCACCACCATCTTCCTGGACACCGCCAAAACTTCATCCTACACAAACACACACACATAAAATATGTTCAATCTATGATTCAGTCAAACGGGGTTAATGCTGCATATTGTTCAGACAGAAACTCCGACGTGACGTTCAAGTGCCACAAACCTCAAACCTCCTCAGGTCTCCTCCCACACCTCACCTGCTCTGCAACTCTCCAACAGGAGTTGATTGTTTTTGTTTGGCGAAGTCGTGACGTTTTACGTGACGACACAAAAAAGAGCTGCAGAGTGAGAGATGAGGCTGAACCTGCTGATAGGAGGTTTTATTATAGAGGTGGACGACTTCTGTTGGAAGTCTGAACTGAAACTTGAGGAGAAATTATTTAAAATCTCAATTTAAAAAACCAGCTGCTGTCATTAAAACCTAAAAGCACCACCTCGCCGTCGGACTGCACTGTGCTCCGATAAACTTCATGTATTTGCCTTCCAGTGCGATTACATAACGTTTCACATTTTAACTGTTAAACAAACTGTGAGACAAAAAGCCACCTGACGAGTTCCACCACTTGCTTTTCAAATAAATGTCCTTTTATTCTCATCTTCTCTTTCCGTCATTATTTTTTATTATTCCTCCGTTGTTGTTTTTTTATTACCTCTCACCTTTTTCGATGAATTTTCCATCTGACTAAAAACCTTCGTACCCGTCTTTTATCATTTTACTGCCTTCAGTTCTTCTATCCATTAAAGGGGTCCAGCTCTTTGTTCAGAACCAGTTATTTTAAACATGCTTTGATTCGTCTGTCTTCCATAAACTAACAGTAAATGTTGTTTATTTTTACTGTGACACATGTAGAAAGGCAGATGTTGATCTTGACATTTAAAGATAAGGTTTTAACTGCTCAGAGAATTCATGTAACCTGATGCAACATTCAAAAACGAAAGAGGAAGTTTATGAAAAACACCCGACAGACTGCAATGTTTCCATGCATCTGTGAAGAACTGCTCAAGTCCAGTTGTAAATGACTGGTTTTCTGTCTCTTTCTATTTGCATTTAGTCTTTTTTTATCTTTCTTTGTTTAAACTGTAACCTGATCTGAACTCAAGTAAACTCCACAACAAGACAGGCTGTGTATTCAAAAGATTTTCAGCCTTTCTTTACAAGCTTATTTACGTTTGTCTTCACACAACAACAACAACAACAACAAATGCAGAATATGTAGCACAGCTGTTGTGTTGCACTGTATAGGTGTACCTAATAAAGTGAGCAGGGAGTTTATATGTGTGGAGGGAAGGGAAATACATAGAAATAGACACTAAAATCTGATTCATCACCGCAGAGGAAACTGTGTCTTAAATTTAACTTGTGGTGTAAAATCCTGCAGCAGTTTTATTGCACACAAGCAGAGGACGACACAGACAGCGGGTGATTCTCCATCAGCCTGTTGCTATGTGCATTTTCAGTTTTAAAATTTAAAAACTGAGTGGAAACATCAAACTTTGAAAAAATAAATCTGAATATTGCAACTTTTTTTTTTTTGCGCTTGGCTGAGGTGGAAATCCAAATTCTCCATCGTCTGAACTTGGACTGACCTCATCTTCTCCTGCAGCGTTTTAACGGCAGCGACTGGAGAACCAAAATTTGTGCTGCAGCTGGATGAAAACCTGGATACTGAGATATCAGAGGATGGAAACACTTTTCCTGACTTTTAATGGCTCATAGCAGCAAGACAATTAAAAAAACTTGCTTTGTTTTCTGTCGTTTTCAGACTCGTTCAGTCTCTGACAGTGTTGCTCTATTCAACTAATGTTTCCTCACATGCAGACTTCCTCTTGTGGGATTAAGACACGCCGACGACGCCGTCCTTCACACGTGTGTCAGAGCCGTCACATTAAGTGCAGTCAAGTTTCCTTCAACACAAACGGTTGACACGCACGTGTGTGTACGATGTAAAAGCCTGAGTCACCGTTTGCCCGGTTTACATCGAGCCCGAGCTGCTGCTGCTGCTGCTGCTGCTGACGTCTCCTCCCGTTCCAGTTTGTCAGCTGCGATCCAGATCAGGCTCAAACCCCCCAACCCCAGGGCTGCAACCAGGTGAGAGCTCCTCGCACTCCTGCCCCACAGCAGCCAGGTGTGAACTCATTAACACAGCAAAAGGCTGAGGAGCTCTTACACAGAGCGTCTCTGCAGGAGCCATGAATACGCATTTTGAAAATTCAAATATTCTGGTGTTTTCAAAGGTGTTTCCCTCTGAAGCTCTTCCGCTTCTCCTCCAAGCCTCATGTCGACTGGAGCCCCTCCTCCAAGTTTACTTGTGAGCAAGGGCCCAATGGTGATTTTACGAGCCTTTTTTCAGACATGGAAATCCACTGGTGGAAAATAAATGTTCTGGAGTATCTGAACTTTTCTTTCTGCTTCATACTCAGCTGTAGTTATTCCTCTGAATAAGATCTTATTCAAACTAAAGCTCACAGAATTCAAAGCTGTTTCAGACGTCTGTGAGCAGTTATCAGTTGTATAGAAGAACGATTTCCTCACTGAGTGTTTCCACATTGAACTGCAGTGAACCAATGACAGTCTCACAAACACAGAGTCAGACAGTCAGGGATTCATACGTCACAAACCTAAGGAACCAATCCTGTCAGCCTGTGGGGACGGGGGGGGGCGGGGCTAAATAAACCTGAAACCTTGTCAGTACAGAGAGAGAGAGAGAGTTAGCATTAGCACAACGGTTAACACTGTGTCAGCTACTGCCAGTAAACAAGCTAATTAACAACATAAACAAATAAAAGATGCTAACTACGCTAACTGCTCTCATGCGTCTGCTAGTCTCTGACTCTGGTCTCAACAGTCTCTGATGTTTCCTCTTCTAACCACCTTGATAGTCTCTGCTCCTTCACCTGATCCAGATTTCTCAACCAGGAAGTAAAAGTAGTTTGTAAGAAGTACATTTAGTATACTCGTCAAACCACAGCGCACATCTGCACGTTTTGCTTTCTTTGCATGAATGCTGGTTGTACTTATGTTAAAACTCAATAAATCAATGTAATACTGAGCTGATCCTCCACAAAAAATAAGATAACACTCGAGACAAATGAGGATGTTTTAGAAATAAGGTCTTCATATAAAAGAAACTGGGCAGTGATTCCTGTAAAAGCAACTTTCAGAGGCCTCATTTTTCCTCCAGGAAAAATTAAAACCTCCTTATAGAGACTGCAACAGTGGAATATCTAAGTTCAAAATGTGGAAAATTTGGTTTCAGACAAGTCATGGGATTTACATTTGGGTAATACATTAGTCTGATTCCCAAAGGGGGATTCTCATGTGAAGGCTGAGCTGCAGCCTGCATGTGAACTGTGTTAATCAAAAACACTCACAGCAGCAGCAGCAGCAGCAGCAGACGCGTCCACATCTCCTTTTCTTTCCCTGGTCGTGTGAAATCACGGCTCATATCTCATATTTAAAGTAATTTCACTCATTCTCCCGACAGAGAGATGCGATTATGAATTAAACCGATAATCAAATAATATCAGAGCATAAAATAATGTCACTGTTTGTTCTCAGCACTGGGGAAAAGACCAGAGGAAAATGAGGTTATAAAAGACTTTTCGATCAACAAGAGGAGACTTTCACTGAAGGTTAACCTGTTTAGATTCTTGGCCTAAGATGATTGGATAAAAAAAGGAGGCAGTGTTCCTGTGACGAGGTTATTAATAGACGTTCTTAAAGCATTCCCCAGATTATATTAGGGAGACGTTCGCTCTCAGTTACAAAACGGATCAGGACTGGGATCAGTTTAAACTCATGTAGATGGTATTCTGCTTCTTTTTTTTTTTAAGGTTACTTATATACGTTATTCATCTGCTTCCATTTACATTTGTTTTTAAGTGCTGTACTTCAGTACAATTTTGATGTACTTATTTCTACTTTATACATTTAAAAAGGCAAATATTGTACTTTATAAGACAAAATATAAATCAATATAAATTATGATGTAAAATCCAAGGGGGGAAACTGACAAACTACAACATTAAAAGTAATATACACATTAATCCAATAACTTGATCTGCATAATGAGTGCTTTAAGTATTTAGTGTACTTCAGTGAGAGATCTGAGCACTTCCTCCACCGTCTGTTTTACTTCCTTGTTGCTGCTGTGACACCTCAATTTCATTATGTGACACCAACAAAGTTTCTCTTCTCTAATCTAAAGGATTAAATCAGTGAGACTCACGGTTCACGCCACCGTTATGCCGACAAAGTGTTGAAAACACCATTGATTATGTAGTTTGATTAATCAATCAAAGCAGTGGAAATGCAGCATGTACATTATATGAAAAGGCACCAGCAGTTTATTTTTGCCCTGATGGCCGGTCCGACTATGGACCAGTCAGCCACATACTACGTTTATACCTTGTCTTGTTTTTAAAGTGATAATTTACAGTGTTTTTAAATTTTAAATAATGAATAAAGTAAGAATACAAAAACTACCTTTTTTTTTATTTCAATAAACAATTAAATTAAGATTATTTTTTTCCCTCTGAACGTTGGACAGAAATCGATTCTTCTTTGGAGCCATGGTTGAATTATTGTTTTCCAGAATCAGTTCATCAGTTACTGCCACAGTGGAGTCAGAACCTCTGAAGTGAAATCAGTTCAAGCTTAAACTTCCCTCAGATCTCGTCTCACGATCATCAGATCGAGCCTTTTTTCTTCAGCGTCTGAACAATCCTGGTGAGTGTCGTCTGTACAGTGGGAACAGGAAATGCTGGTAGCCAAAGCAGCAGGACTTTGCATTATGCAGATGCACCGCAATGTAAATCAGCGGGTTCATCCGTCAGAATAATAATAATAATAATAATAATAATAATAATACCTCAATACCTTTGCATCTGTTTTCATCATATTAATTCAAAGCTGACTGATGTTCCACGGATGTAATTTTCACCTCATGACGTGACTCTGATATTGGAGACTGAGGATGTTAATGAGCCACGGGAGCTTTTCAGATATTAGTGAATAGCTTTCTTTTTCATTTATGTTTCAAACTAAATGAATTTTAATCTGGACTTCTTCTAAAGGCAAGTATGAAATCCTTTTTTTAAACTACTCAAAAGCAATTATAGTCAGTTTTATTTTTTATGATAGTCACCGACTTTCCAGTGGGACCTTTAGCAGTTACACAGCTTTCATTTACAGTCAGTTTAAACTTACGTTTTTTTGAGGGTGTTCAAATCCAAATCAGCTTTGATTCAGTATTAAATCTCTGGAGGAGGAGCCAGTCTCCCCGACCTTTGACCCACCTCTCCGTGCTCCCTGGTCCGGCCCTTTGGCGTGTCCTCGGGTAAGAAGTAAAGCCTGGCGCTGGCCAGCAGGTGGCGTCGCGTCTGGTCCTCCCACAGTAAGGTCACCTGCACACGAAGAAGAAGAAGAAGAAGAAGAAGAACACAGGCGTAAACACAGATGCCGTATTGCTGATCAGAGGCCTGAGGTCTGAACTACGAAGCAGTATTACAGGTTATTGAGGCAACTTCAGATTTAACTCTGGGTTTTCAGTCCTATGACGGTGGTTCACTTGTTACCAGGGTAAATCTCCATGGTAACTGATGCTTCTCTACTTCTCTCCTCTTTTCTTTCTCTCCTCTCTGCAGCAGAAACAGTCGAACATTAACTTGAACTGTTTTATCTGCATCACATGTTTATAACAGTTTGTTCATCATGAGACGAAAGAGTGAAAATACTCAGTAAGAAACTTATTTACAATATAACATCAGTCTGACTTTAATATTTATCAATTATTTCTAGTGTTTCTTGTTTATTCCAGTCATGTGATCATGTTGTTTTCATTTCACCTGGTTGAATATCACTTTATTGCTTTACCTGCAGGTATCAGTGTTTCTTCTCATATCACACATTAATACTTTATTCATGTTTCTGATCACGTTTCTTATAATTAAAAACTCTGCGTCTTTCACATGAACCAGGATTAACTGAACCAGGTGATAACCAGCTTGGTAGTACAGGTTAGGTTCAGTTAACCCAGATAAGGGAAAGTTACCCTGGGTATGTTGAACCTGCTTCATAGTGCAGGCCTCAGGTAACGGTCATGATGAAGAGAAACCCCGTTCTGTAATCGAGGAAACAACCCGATGTCCTCAGCCACAGTTCCCCCGAGGAGAGCCGACGTCTCAGCCACATGTACAGACAACCAATCAGCTTTTTAGGACGAAGAATGAGGGCGGATCATTTCACATGGTGATGCACATCCTTGTATTGCAAATAAAACCCAGAGCCTTCAGTGCTTCATCTCACCAGCAGCTTTTTAATCATGTCGCATGTAAACGCCTCTTTACACTAAGTGGCCATAATTTGTCAGCAGGGGTTCTCATGAATCATCATGTGGCGAGGACGGTGATGATGATGTTTAATCACTGATGATGAAGTGGACGATGGTGGCTCGATGTAGCCCACTAGTAAAAGTCTTTCATTTGACATTTTGAATCACTATATGTCATGCAAGTGAACATCAGAGTTACCAGCAGCTGTAACTGTGAAATAAATGTAGTGGAGTAAAAATATAAAGTACAAGTACTTTAACACGTTTGTATCCGAGCAAATACATGATCATCTACATCTTTCATTCTGATCAATCACTGTCGATACAACACTACCAACCTAAATACAACGCAGGCTCATTCACACGTGTCTTTACTTTTTTCAGCTCACGACCTCAATGGACTAAATTTAGCCTTGCTGTGGGATGTAGACTCAATAATAAAACATATCACTCTTCTATAGCTCACGTGAGCAGGAGTGTGACCCATTTAGGGTTCGATTTTCAATTCAGTTTGTGGAGTTAGTTTGGGTTAGTTAGTCATAGTCAGCGGTTAGAGGGGCACTCGTCAACATCAGTTGACTAGTAGCTGGTTAGCACTGCTGACAATGTGAAAGTCTGGACCCTGGACTGACGTTCATCAGGCTCAAAGACCTGCAGGTTTCTGCTGCAACAGTTCTTGTTGTAGTTGTTGATATAAAAACACGGATTACAGCAGCTTTAATGCAGCAGAGAGTCAAATAAAAACCAGGTATCTCACCTCAGCGACGCACACGGGATCCTGCGGTCCACAGCGGATGAAGTAGAACTCCCCGAGCTTCCACACCTGGACGGGCCCGTCGGGCTGAGCTCTGCTGCTCACCGACTTATAGAAGGCATAACTGCCCCGCTGGCAGGAGGGAGCACCCAACCACTGATGGAGAGACAAGACAGCACAGATGAGGAAGAGTTAACGATCCCTGGGAGGCTCAACGGGCATTTCCAGTGTCAGAGTTTTGGCTTAAAAAAAAAAAGGTTTTACTCCAGTCCACCTCTTCTGCAGACAGAAATATCATCTATGGTTGAGTTGAACCTCAGGGGACACAGATAAAGAAGCACAGGTTCCTGATACAGTCACATTTGACTCAAGTCCAGAGGAGGAAACTCAAAGATGAGCTGTGAGTTAGAGAGGAAATCTCATCAGGCTGCAGAGCTGAAATGAAACAGCTCTGTTCCATATGTAAGGAAATATCATTCATACTGAAGCTAATTATAATAAATCCAGCCACACAACAACAGGTTCAACCAAACACACGTCCTAGATAAGGATGATAATTAAAAAATATCACAAAAACAAAAACAATCTAATATTGTTTAATGCTGCAATTAGTCGATGAATCAATTAGTCGACTATTAGTGAAGTAACGGCAAATATTATTTGATTCCAGCCTCTGAAGTCTTTGGATTTCCTGCTTTTCTTTGACATATGTCACTGTGAACTCAATATTTTTGGGTGTTTGGACTTTTGGTCGAACAAAACCGGACGTGTGAGGTCGTCACACTCGGACCTGCAAAGCTGTGCCGGGCAGTTTTGTTTTTTTTTTTTTATAGACTATTAATGGAAAAAATAATCAGAAGATGAGGTCAAAGGTTCCTTGTTTATACTGAGATGTGTGATCATTTTTAAGGGATATTCTCAATGTTCTGAAATTCTGTCTGAGCCAGTTCACATTCCAACGATGTCCAGATGCCAAATTAAAATACAGGTACGGGTCAATTTGACATTTCCCTGTATTAAAAAAGGGAAAATATTTTGGTGATGAAACTATCAGACTTAAATTTAAATGCCAGGAGTCCTCTCTACATTTGCTTGGGCGTGTTCAAACCATAAATTCTGCAGAATCCACCTCTGGCATCAACACCTCTGACGATAAAATTGCACCATCTTGCAATGAGGCAACATTTTCACATGTATAAACAGCTCTCAGAGCAGGATATTGTAATATATTAAACACCTCAGAGAGGAAATGTTAAAAATTAACTCCTCACGCTGCAGAGTCGTATCTGCAGCCCCTGATACCGACTGTAAATATGTTCGTCTGAAGTGAGTGATGCAGGTTTTTAAATATTATGACAAGAAAAGGCTGAAATTTAAAGACATGTACAAACCTGTCTGATCTTAATAATCTGCGTGTGTCACGCTTCTTTTACAGATATCATGTGTTTAAGCATGTGAATGAAGAAAAAATGTTATCATTCCGCCACGGTCACACTTCTTTTAAAAGGCCTTTGAACGCCTGTGTGTTAAATAAATAAACACATCAGCAGTTAAAAGGGTAAATTAATAAACATTATTCTGCTGTTTGACTTGTACTTTCATCCAGCTGCACAGGAGAGAGGTCACATGATTTCCAGAGCGCCACAATAAAACCACCCGCTGTAGTTAATCATTCAGAATCTATCATTCGTTATAGATATTGTTCATTAGTTATTCTGACTTTTTTTTTTTAATCTTAACTTTTAATTACTGTGCACGTGCACCGTGTAATGAATCTGACATTGTCTGAATCTGTTTAATGTTTAATATGTTTAATCTTTGTTTGTAGAATCAAAGATCAAATATTAAATTTAAGGAAGTATGCTGGGCAATGTGGCACAAAGTCATGTGACCTTTACTCTCCAACCAGAGGGTCCCGCAGTCACATTTTAAAAGTTATTACTCTGTGCTTTTATTTTGGTAAATGTTCTCTCACTTCCTGCTCAGGGAGGGAAACTTTTCACATTTAGAAGAGAAGCTGGCTGAGAACAGTAACTGTGTGTAGGTCGCAGCTAAACTCCCCCCAGTGACCAACTAAACACTTCCTGCAAGTGTTTCAAAATAAAAGCCATTTAATTTGTTTATTTATTTGCACAGTAACAAAAACAAACATTAAATATGGCAACTAATGATTATTTCTATTATTGATTCATTTGTTGATTATTATCTGAAGTAATCGATTGGTTGTTTCTTCACATGTCTTGTGTTGTCTGATAAACAGACTAAAACCCAAACACACTGAGTTTACTGTCACAGCAGACGATGGAAAACAGAAAACGTTCACATCTGAGAAGCTGGAACCAGAAACATATTTTCTTTTAAGAAAAAAATGACTCAAAAAAACAAAAAATCGATTAGTAAAATAATTGCAGATTAGTCGATTGACAGAAAAATAAACTGATTAACCATCGCAGCTCAAAATGACTGAGAAAACTTCAGTGAAATAAAGATGGACTGTTTTTAGAGGAGAGCTTTAACCAGCATTAAAACAAACAGCATTAAAGCTTCTCCATGAAAATGTTTGACTGCAAAGTGAATGTGAGTCTGACTCAGAGTATTTTCTTCATCCACTTACATAATAACTCTGACTAACCTGACAAAAATGACAAAAAAGGCATTTCTTTTCTTTTTTTATTTTCTTTTTTTTTTTTACCAGAACTGACATTTTCTGAAGTTTCCTTTTCCAGAGAATGATAATCTCCTGCTTTATAGACTCTGGATGATTAATCCCTGGAGTGTTTGGATGTATTCTGACAGATACCGCGATGACTTCATGTGTGGCTTTTCAGTTCATGGCTCCGTTTCATGCAATTTTAAAAGAGACGGATGTTTTGACACCATGAGTCGGAGTAAATTGCAGCTTGTAGTTTCTCCTCCAGCAGCTCGGTGTTTTGTTGTTCATATAATGTGTCCTCACAGAAAGCACCGAGGCCGTCATTACGCTTCACTACAGCAGCAGCCTATTGTTCAGGCTCATATTGACTGAGGCACCGGTGAGAGATTATTATTTATCTCACAATTTCCCGGGAGAGAGAAAACAATGTCAGCTTCTTTTCTTGAAATTCTGCACAAATAAAAGACATTAAATTCTCTGAGCTGAGCTCCAGATCCCATTACTAGCTTTTCTGGAGCTTTCAACCGGCAATTAAGAACTAAATAGATCTGTTAATTAAGTAAAAGGATGGTGTAATATGTTCAAAACCTACTGAAATGTATAAAGAGTATAAAAACCTGAAGTGAAAACATCCACTGTGACCGATATATTACCATATATGACGTTATTAGATTATTAATAGTGATGCATCCATGCCACAGCAGTATTTTACTACTTATCAAGAGAATAATGAGAATATTGTAAGAATGCAAAACTAATGGAGTGTAAACTCTACAGTTCTTTAAAAATGTCAGATATTTAGCAGCTTAATGTGCATTAATAATCTGTTAATGAACTTTAACCGTGTCCTCCTGACAGCAGTGTTTCTATAAGTCCTGCTTCCCTTTTTCTTTTCTGTCCCCAAAATGGCGGCTGTGTCATTTGGCAAAAAAAAAAAAAAGTCAATCTACAGCTCAGTTCACATGGAACTTCTTGTGTGTTTACACTGTGGATGCGACGAGGAGCGCTTGATTCGCCTTAACTTCTGTTGCTGTTTCATTTTTTTCTCCACTAAAAAAGGGTTTTTTTGGGCGAGTTTCTTCCTTATATGATCAGAGGGTCTTGAGGACAGAGGGGCGTCGTAAAGCTCTACAGACTGCACTGAGCAAAATTTGTGATTTGTGATTCTGGGCTGTATAAATAAGACTCGACTTCAAAAGCAGCCAAAGCTCCCATTTTGTGGGTGTTTACACGGCTGGAACAATAAATCGAGCGCACCTTGAGTGGGTTCATACATCTGAAAGCCAATACTGTCTGTGCTGCTGCTGCTGGTGAATAAACCTGCAGCTTTGATTTCACTGTTCTGTAAGAGGAAGTGTGAGGAGCCCGGGGCCCGTGACACCCCGAGGAGCGTGCAGGAAAAAAAAAAAAGAAGCTACAACAGAAAAACACACCAAAGACATGGAGGCAGGTTTTCTCCTAAATACAAGGCCGCTGTGTTTCATGTGAGGTCTGACGGACACCTCTCACTTCTCAGTACCAGGGAAACAGATTCTCTTTAACAGCGTGACCCAAAACGATGAGCTGTGTTTTCTGTCAGGAGGATGGTGAGCTGCCATTTTGGATCCTGAGCCACAGCTTCAGTCCTCAGGCCGTGTGTTAATGTGCTCACACATAACCACAAAATCCACAGGCCGAGGTGACTTACGCCAGTTCCTCGCTCTGAAAAACCAAACAACGTGGACTTCTCTCAGCCCCGGACGGAGCGCTCTTTATCTACAGCTCCACACGTTTGTTAAATTTACAAATTCAAACAGATGTCATGAATCACCTCCTTGTTTCGAATCAGGATCATTTTCGTCATTTTTTGCTCATGAGCTGCAGCAGATTGTGTTTCACTGAAACCTAAGGGCACATTAACTCCAGCTCACACAACTCAACTGAAGTTTCAGTTCAGTTTTTAGTTATTTTGGTTAGACAGAGAACGTGGCATTTATTTTATTATTTGGCACAAATAAGCATGGATAAACTAAACTGATGATTATTTTCAGTAGAGGTTTCTCTGCCAGTTACTTTCTCGTATAATTAACCATCGTCAGGTCTATAAAAAATGTCTGAAAATAGGGGAAAATATCACAATCACAATTTCCCAAACCTCAAAAAGACATCTTTAAAATGTAGTTTGTTCTGTCTGATATGAGTTCACAATCAAAGAGACAGAAAAAGCAGCAAATATTTATATTTGAGAAGCTGGATCCACTGAATTTTTTGCATTTTTGCTTAATTCAATTATCAAAACATCCGTCCATCAACTATTCAACAAAGCGTTTCAGCTCAAGTTTGTACTTCAACAGATATGTTATTCCGTTTCCTTCACGTCAGGCTGAAATTTCAAATACGCAAAAGGCTCATGAATGACTTTATTATTTTTCTCAATTAATGAATGAATCGTTTAGTCTATAAAATGTTAGAAAATATCAGTTCCACTTTCTCTCGGGCTAAAAATATTCAATATATAATGATA